GAAACGAAAGAAGATCTTCGGCCGGAGGACCAAGCATCGGCCAGGATGACAGTGTGGCCTTACTCAACTCAGGATGGGTCAGGGAACTTCCTGCACATAGAGGTGAAGACGTTTGGCACAGAAGTTGGCAACAACCTCCAGCTGAGCCTCAACACAAGGCATTTGAACCATCCAGCCAAGAACCAGATCACCCATTTCACCATCCTGGTGAGGGACGAGGACCAGGGCTGGAGTCAAGGAATTCTTGCCCTGGAACAGTCTTGGGTAGCTGAGTTGGAGGAACTATGAACAATGGCGTGAAGGTGGGACCCATTTGGGGTAGGCTCAGGCCAAGGAACGAAGCAAAGGGACTGAGGACCTCTCTTGTGGGCTGGTCCTACCCTTCTCATCCTTGGCTTCCCCTGTTTTTAAGGTCCTGAGTAAGGGTCAGATTGTGTCTACTAAACATCAAGTAAAAAGTCAGGGGAGTATCTACACGTCAGCCATCATCGATGTGACTTCAGAGATGCTGCCCTCCTTCCGCATCCTGGCCTTTTATTTGCTGCCCAAAGGAGCAGGCAAGGACCCTGAACTGGTAGCCGATTCCATCTGGATTGATGTGAATGACAGATGCATGGGGACGGTGAGCCAAACTCCCTGAAGCTGTACATCACCATCATAAAGTTCGGGAGAGGGTCTGTCCAAGTTCAAGGGCTCCCAGCCCAGAGGCAAGTGAGTGTAAGAGGAAGAGATGTGGCTTTAAAGGCTCAACCTAGAGATGATGTGAGGAAATGTGTGGAGCTGGAATTGGTCTGGTGCAGTTCCCTAATGCTCCATCAGAGTTGTAAGGAATCTGAACCTGAAAGTGAACTTGGGCTCCTGGTCAGGGTGGCTCAGTTGGTTGGGCATTGTCCCATGCACCAGGAGGTTGTTGGTTCAATTCCTGGTCAAAAGCACAAGCCCAGATTACAGGCTCAATTCCCAGTAGGGGGGCATGCAGGAGGCAGCCAATTAATGTTGTACTCTCACATCAATCTCTCTCTCTCTCTCTCTCTCTCTCTCTCTCTCTCTTTTTCTCTTTTTCTCTCTCTCTATTATTCTCTCTCTCCTTCTCCCTTTCTCTTTGAAAATCAATAAACTAAAAATAAAATAAAATAAGTGGGGTTGGGGAAGCCCCTTGGCAGTCTATAAGCCTTTTTTATGACATACCTATTTTTCCTGGCTTAGCTGAAGGTTGGCTTAAATAATGAAGATTCCTTCGGTTCTTTGGAGCCCAACACCAAGGTGAAAATAAAGGTGACAGGTGATGCAGAGGCCACAGTGGGGCTTGTGGCCGTGGACAAGGCTGTGTACGTCTTGAACAGCAAAGACAAGCTCACACAGAAGAAGGTGAGTACGTCATGCGCATTTGGGTCAAAATGTTGCCTGAACATTCTAGCTGGAGCTTCAGTCTTCTTCAACTCCAAAATGCAACATCAGCGGTTGCAAGGATGTAGGTAGCTAGTGCACAGCATAGAGACTGCCAGATGGGGAGGACTCAATGAATGGCGGATAGTGTGAGCATTATTGCTTGAGCCAGCAATTACGGTGCATTATTGCTCCTCCCCTGGAGGGTCATACAGGCTCCAAGTCCAGGCTCTCTCTGGCCCCCCAGGTCTGGGATGTGGTGGAGGAACACGACATTGGCTGCACCGCAGGCAGTGGGAAGGACGGGCTTGCTGTGTTCAAGGATGCTGGCTTGGACCTGAAGATGAGCACAGGGATGGGCACCTTGGCAAGCTCAGGTACAGGCAGGGGTGGGAGGTGGGCAGGAAGGTGGCAGGGGTGGGGGCAATGCTGTCTAGTGGTTAAGAACATGGGGTTTGGCATCGAACAGATGGGATAAATTCAGGATCTTGCCACTTCCCTTGGGCCAGTCACATTTCGAGTCTGAGCTTCTCTGTCCATAAAATGGGCATAATAATACGAGTGACTCGCTCTGTGTTAGTTAAGGTATAGATTTGTCCATATGAATCAGAGATAAAATAATAGTAATTCAAATAAGATATAAGTTTATATCTCACTCAGTCACCCTCCAGAGGTCATTCTGGGACTCAGGCTGCTTCTAGCTTGTTGTTCTGCCATTTTCCAAGATAGCACCTCATCAGAACCTCTCTCCAGGCGGTAGGATGAAGGGAAGAGGGAATGAGAGGACCCTGCTCTCACATTCTTTGGCTAGTGCTCAGTCACATGGCCCCACCTAGGCCCAGGGGAGCGTCCTGGGAAATGTACTCTTCATTCTGAGCAATGGGTAAAGGTGGAGGTTTAGTTGCTACAGATGAGAGGAGGATTGTGGGTACTGGGGACAACGAGGAGCGTGTTCTCTCAGCTACAAAGAGTTATCTCATGAGCTTCTATCTACTGCAAACTCGGTACCTCTATATGCACGATTCCATTGGTGGAACTCTATGCTTCCACTGATTGTACTCGCTTTGCATAGCTGGAGAAAGTGACCCCCAGCACCCGGCCGGTGTTGCCCAGGGGTTGAGTGTTGACCTAAGAACCAGACAGTCACGGTTGCATCCCTGGTCAGGGCACATGCCCAGACTGCAGGCTCTGCCCCCTGTAAGGGAAGTGCAGAGGCCAATTGATTATTCTCTCTTATCATTGATGGTTTCTATCTCTCTCTCCCTCTCTCTTCCTCTCTGAAATCAAAATTTTTTTTAAATAACTACAAGAGAAGTTATGACTTGTTGAAGACTGCATAGCTTTTCAGTGGTGAATCTTAAGTATGAGGTACCCAGGGAATGAAATGAGTGACGGGCGTAACACACTGGGCATACAATGAACTTCACCGAGGGTGTTGGGAATGATCTTGACCCTTGTCCTCATTCTTCCCTCTGGCCTCCAGACTGGCTCTGTCCCCAGAGCCGCCCTCCCAGCCGCCGTCGCCGCTCGCTGAAGAGCCTGGAGACCAAGAAGAACGCAGGTCAGAGTGACAGCTGGATGACCCCTCTTGGCTCCCTGGCCTACCGGATTCATCGGGGCTTAAACAGAAAACTGAACCCGTGCTAGGGACTTCAAGCAGGGAGGGAGGGATTTCATCCTGGGAATTCGGTGCTTTCAAAAGTACTTGACCGGGCTATAGGAATGGGAAGTGGAAGGCTGCTCACTGGGGCTCAGGATCACCCCACTGCGGTGCTGGAATCTCGGGAAACGTCTGGCAGTATTTCTCGGGAGACAGTGGAACATGGAATTGTCCCCGCGAAAACACCACTCAGCCTGGGGCCCGCTCACCAGCTACCACCGCTGCAGGGCAAATGCTCTCTGCTTCTCTTTCGCAAGAGCATCTCGGGGGCGGAATCTAATTCCATCCAGAACTCTAGCAGCAAGGGAGTCTGGGAAGCCTGGTTTCCAGGTGTCAGGTAGAGGAGGGAAGGCAGACAGACGGAGAAATCGGTGCTGAGTGCCAATGGGTAGCGTTTAGCTCCGGACCTGGAGTTCAAGGACCGTGGAGGCACCACTGGCTGGTGTTAGAAGCACGCATTCTACGAGCATGGGACTTTTCTGTCTCTTTGAGCAATGCTAAGACTTGGTGGAACTAAATACAAATAATAATAATAATAATAATAATGATAAGTAAACTCTAATAAAAAATCAAGGTAAAACCCTAATCCAATTTACCCTAACCCAAGGTAAAACCCTATGGAATTTGGTAATTCCATACCAAAAATCATGCTAACCTTCTGGAGAAAGTGCATCGTATGAACTTTTGATGGCACTGACCCGTCATATTATTTAACTATGGATCTTCTAACCGTGTTGCATGGTGGACAATAAGATTTTTAAATTGCTATTGTTATATCTTTTTTTAAATAAATTTTATTGATTTTTTATAGAGAGAAAGGAAGAGAGGTAGAGTGTTAGAAACATCCACGGGAGAGAAACATCCATCAGCTGCCTCCTCACAACCCCCACTGGGGATGTGCCCACAACCAAGGTGCATGCCCTTGACTGGAATCGAACCCAGGACCTTTCAGTCCACAGGCCGACGCTCTATCCACTGAGCCAAACCGGTTAGGGCTATTGTTTTATCTTTAAGTGCATTCCTTAGGTTTGCTTGACGGCGAGGTTTATGTTGTTTACCAATACATCATGAGAATTGGGAGCCGAAGTGGCATCTTTTATACGTAAACATGGCGTTACCCACCTCATGGAGAAGGACAAGGAGGAGGCAGGGAGGGGAGGAGAGGACAGGGGAAGCAGCAGCAGCCTGGAGTCTAGTCCCAGCCCTGCCACTGTGAGGTGTGTGACCCTAGGCCACAGTGGGCGGCAAACTGCAGCTCGCAAGCCACCTGCGGCTCTTTGGCCCCTTGAGTGTGGCTCTTCCACAAAATACCACGTGTGGAAGTGCGATTGAAACTTTGTAGCCTGTGAGAAGTCTGTTTTCGGCTCTCAAAAGAATTTTCAATCGTTGTCCTGTTGATATTTGGCTCTGCTGACGAATGAGTTTGCCGACCACTGCCCTAGGCCAGGGGTCGGACCCCTCTGTCACTTAGCTTCCCGATCAGAACTCCCCCTATGGGATCCATGAGAGCCTTTAGGAGGAAGACACAGGCAAAGTGCCAGGACCCGCCTCTGCGGGAGTGAAGGCCAACCAAGGCCCCGGAGGCACGCACTGAGGGGGGGGCACCCAGCTTCCTCAGCCCCTGCTCAGCCCGCCCCGTGCCTCTGAACCCGGCCCGCAGTGAACAAGTTCAACACCGACCTGGAGCGGAAGTGCTGCGAGGCCGGGCTCCGGGAGAACCCCGTGGGGCTGTCCTGCGAGGAGAGGACCCGGCACGTCCGCCCTGAGCCGGCCTGCGTCGCCGCTTTCCTGAGCTGCTGCCATCTGTCTGCCAACCTGACCCGGAAGGCCCTGGAGGACGAGCTGCTTCTGGGCACAAGTGAGGGGGACCGGGCGGGAGGCAGGGGGAGGGGGCCTGCACCAAAGGGCCTGGAGGGCCATGGGGTGAACGGGGAGATGGGGCCACGGGGGAGACGCCCAGGGGGAGACGCCAACAGCGATGCCAGCCCACGGCTGCTCCCCGCAGCGGATGAGGACGAGGACTTGGAAGACTTCTTCCTGGACGACCAGCCGGTCCGGACTTTGTTCCCTGAAAGCTGGCTCTGGAGGACGTTTACTCTGCCAAAGAGTGAACCTCGGTAGGAACACGCTCCCCTCCTCCCCCCCGCTGCCCCCTCACCCCCGGCAGCATCCGGTCCCCGGCCCGTCCACCAACCAGTGGACGTCCATCGTGGCCAATGCCCGCCCCCCCCCCTGTGGTGCCACTGAGTTCTCAGCATAGTCCATGACGGCCACCGCCCCAATGGGAATGCAGACCCAGTGGTTCCCCCCGAAGGAGGACCCTCTTGTGAGGATGCCCCTCCCGGGGTGGCCCACGCACCCCTCCGTAGTGGTGGCCACCCCTGGATGGAGGCTCTGTCCAGGCAGCACCTACTCAGCCACGCCCCTGCCCTGCCTCTCCCAGGAGGAGCGTCTCCCACCACACCTTCGAGGTGGACCTGCCAGATTCCATGACCACGTGGCAGCTCGTGGCCATCAGCCTCAAGCCCGGGAAAGGTGACCCAGCGAGCCCAACGCTGAGGGCGCGCGGGACGCCCGGCCCCAGCCGGGGCCGCGGGCTTCTGCTCAGCCTCCCCACTGTCCGTCTCCCGGCTCTAGGCCTCTGCGTCTCAGAGCCCTTTGAGATGACCGTGAGGAAACCGTTCTTCGTGGACCTGAAGCTGCCCTTCTCCGTGGTCAGGAACGAGCAAGTCCAGATCCAAGCCGTGCTGTACAACTTCCTGAACCGCCAGGTCAAGGTGACGCCCCCGGCCCGCCCTTCCGGCCGGAACACCTGCCCGCGTGTCTCACAGAAGGGGGCGGGGGAGGACAGGTGTCATTATTCGAAAGGACCAGCGACATGGTGGCCTTTTTGAAAGATTTCTAGGATATTTTCTTTCTTTTTTCTTTTTTTTATATATATTTTTTATTGATTTTTTTTACAGAGAGGAAGAAGAGAAGGATAGAGTTAGAAACATCGATAAGAGAGAATCACTGATCAGCTGCCTCTTGCACACCCCACACTGGGGATGTGCCTGAAACCAAGGTACATGCCCTTGACCGGAATCGAACCTAGGACCTTTCAGTCTGCAGGCCGAAGCTCTATTCACTGAGCCAAACTGGTTTCAGCTTTTTTTTTTTTTTTTCTTCTTCTTCTTTTAAACATATTTTTATTGATTTCAGAGAGGAAGGGAGGGTGAGAGAGAATCATTGATCGGCTGCCACTGGGGATCCATGTGGCACATGCCCTGACCGGGAATGGAGCCGTGACCTCCTAGCTCATAGTTTGATGCTCAACCACGGAGCCACACCAGCCAGGCGAAGATATTTTTCATTTTTTATTTAACCTCTTAATAAACTCAGCAGATGGGTGCCATTATTGTTCTTTTAGAGATGAGGAAACTGAGGCACCGAGAGGTCAAGGGGCTTTCTGAGATCACCCAGCACATACATGACAAGGAGGGGTTTGAACCCAGACAGGGTCTTTGCTATCAACCCCTAGGCCGGGCTGTTACCTGCTCAGGATTGTCAGGCCGGGGCAGGAGGGCAGTGTGACTGCAGGGTCCTGGGCCACCCATGCACCCGGACCCCTCCCCTGCCCGCCCTGCCCAGGTCCGCGTGGAGTTCCCCCACAAGGAGCCGCTGTGCAGCGCGTCAAGGCCAGGAGCCCCATCCCGCCAGGTGGTCGTCATGGCCCCCACCTCCACCAAGGTGGTGCCTTTTGTGCTTCTCCCACTTGAGACAGGCAAAGTGGATGTGGAGGTCAAGGTCGTGGGCTCCGGGCTCCAGGACCATGTGAAGAAGGTGCTCCTGGTCCAGGTAATGGGCCCGCCCACACCATGCTGCCAGTGCAGACAGAGGCGCTTCCCCGGTGAGGGCCTGGGAGGGACAGGTGGGCCCAGGGCCAACAAGCAGGCCTGCCAGAGGGGAGTGAGCTGAGGAAATAGATTTGGAAAAGTTCAATTGCAGAGCCCCCACTTCACAACGTTGGAGTCAGACCTGAGTTCGAATCTTGACTCTTCTGCGTGACCTTGGGCAATGCCCTTAACTTCTCTGAGCTTCCATTTCCTCATTTTCAGAATGGGGGTGATCATCATAGCCATGCATAATCAGAGGCAATGACCCATCAATAATACTATACTTTCTTAACATGACTAGGTCTTACAATATAGTACTTTAAGAATATTAACTCAGCCCTGACCGGTTTGGCTCAGTTGGCCTGCGGACTAAGGAGTCCCAGGTTCGATTCCGGTCAAGGGCATGTGCCTTGGTTGCAGGCACATCCCCAAGTGGAGGGTGTGCAGGAGGCAGTTGATAGATGTTTCTCTCTCATAGATTTTTCTAACTCTCTACCCCTCTCCCTTCCTCTCTGTAAAGGATCAATAAAACATATTTGAAAGAAAAAAAAAAGAATATTAACTCATTGAGCCCTCAGAACAACCCTACCAGGTAGGAACTATTATTATCTCCCTTTTATGGATGAGAAAAATGAGGCACAGAGAGGTTAAGAAATTTGCCCAAGGCCACACAGCTAAGGAGTAGAAAAGCTGGGATTTGAACCCAGATATTAGGGCTCCAGAGTCTGCATTCTCACCAGCTGAGCAAACCTTCCTCTCATTGTCATTACGATTGTTATTTTTGCTATTGTTTTTTAACAGGCCGGGGGCAAGATAGAAAAAATATCTCATAGCTTCGTCCTGAACCCCCAAGGTTTGTGGAGTCTGCAAAGGGCATGTGGGATCCGGGGGACATGCCAGGGCAGAGGGAGGGGTTAAATGAGGTGCTCAGGCCAGGGAGGGCAGTCCAAGCTCCTGCTGGGCCCGGTGCCCTCTGACCTCCCTCGCCCCAGAGCCTGCTTGTCACAGAAGGTTGTCTCTGCTCAGGTCGGCCCCAGGTGGAACGGGTGCCAAAAGCAGACTTCCTAAACAAGATGCCCAACACAGAGGCAGAAGTGTTTGTCAGTGTCCAAGGTGCTTGATACACAGCTGGCTCCTGGGGAGGAGGGAAAGGCGGGGGGCGGGGGGGGGGGAGGCGGGGGAGGAGGGGAAGGCGGGGGAGGAAGGGGGAGGCGGGGGAGGAGGGAGTCGGCTAGGCACAGGAGGGGCTGGGAGTGCCCGTGTGGAGCGACCAGAAAGCCTTGGTGGCTCAGGCCGTTCCCAAGACGACCCTGCCCACCTGACAGGTGACATCCTTGGCGAGACCATCCTGGGCAGCCTGACCTCCAGAGAAACCCATGAGCTGCTGAGACTCCCGACTGGCTGCCCCGAGCAGACGCTGAGCAGCCTGACGCCTGTGGTCATCCTGACCCGCTACTTGGACGCCACGGGCCAGTGGGGCAAGGTCGGGGTGGAGCACAGGGACCAGGTGATGAAGAATATCGTCAGCGGTGAGGCCCTCCTGTGACCCTGAAGAGGGTTTCTGGGGCTCTGTGGGGGGGTGAGGAGGGTATCCCCAGGTTTGAGGGAGGTCCCATGGGACCCTCCCAGATGATAACACCCAAACTCTGACTCCTCTCCCAGATGGCACCCTGATGCCAACCCTCAGGGGACCCCTAAACAGTGACCGCAAAGAGTCATCTCAAGGTGACCCCTAGATTGCCCTTGAACTCTGCAGCCCCAGGTAACCTCCAACAGTGACCCCCGGGTTATTCCTTCGCCTGGACCCCCTGGTAATCTAACAACAGACCCCCTAGTGTACCCCCAAAGCAGCAACCCCCCAAGGCTGTTCTATTCAGACACTGTCTCAGATTACACCCAGTCAGTGCCAAGCCCTGGGTCAACCCCAGGGAATCAGCAGAAAGTTCCAGAATAATCCCAGTTACATCTGAATGCTGACATTTCCTGAAGTGACACCAAAACCTCCAGGTAACAACCAGAGATGAACGCCTCTAAGCCCACCCAGAGCCCTCAACGTAATTTGGACATCGAACCCCCTTTTCCCAGTTACCCCCAGACCCTGACTCTCCATTCAGGCACCCTCACCAGTAATCCCCAGGGGACACCCAGGCATTGTCACCCCGATGTCACACTCAAACAGCAAACCTCAGGTAACTTCAGATAGAGTGCAAGCAGCCAGGTTCAGAACGTACCTGAGAGGCGTCCCAACGAGACTACACCCATGAGTGTCCCCCTTGAGTCTACACAGACTCACTGAAACCTCTAGTTTGCAGCCAAAAAGGAACCCGCATTCCCGGCCCAGCTGGTGTGCTTCAGTGGTTGAGCATCAACCTATGAACCAAGAGGTGACGGTTCAATTCCTGGTCAGGGCACATGCCTGGGTTTCAGGCTCAATCCCCAGTAGGGGATGTGCAGGAGGCAGGTGATCAAGGATTCTCTCTCAACACTGATGTTTCTCTCTCTTCCTCTCCCTTCATCTCTGAAATCAATGAGTGAACTGACGATTCTCAGGGGAAAGGGGAGTAGGGAGTGCGGAAAGAGACTGAACTTAAACTGTGCACCTATGGATGAGGACAATGGGGGGGTGGGGAAAGGGCAGAGGGTGGGGTGGGAACCTGGTGGAGGGAAGCAATGGAGCAGGGGAAAAAATGAGGAACATTTGTAATAATAGGAACAATAAAGATTTATTTTTAAAAAAAAGTGCCCAAGGAGTGGCCCCTCAGGTACCACCTTTCCTGGGTTTCACCTCCCACGATCCCTCTGAGCGGCAGCTCCCAGCCTCACCTCTGCCAGGTGGGTGGTCTCCCAGGTTTCTCCTGGACACGTGCACTCTGCCCTGGGGGTCACGCCTGGCTGAGACCTGCATTTCCGTCTGTCTGGACGCTGCAGCTCCCACGTTATACGTGTATAAGTCCCCTCCTCCAGGTTGTATGTGGATGGCATGCATCCCCAAGCCACTCCCACACCCTGCTCCTCCAGATGATCCCTGCTCCACCCCCACCATCAGCTCTCTGACTCTCCTGCCAAAACCTCCTCCATCTGTTTCCCCAGGATACACCCGGATGCTGACCCACCGGAGCGCAGACGGCACCTACCACATCCACAAGGGGAAGCCGGGAAGCACCTGGTAAGGACAATGCTGGGGTGGGAGGAGGGAGGAAGGAGGGAGGGAGCT